GGGTGGGCTGAGGGAGGAGGGAACCAGACTCTTTTCAGTAGTTGCCAGTGAGAGAACAAGGGACAATGGGCACAAGTTGGAACATAAAGGGTTCCACTTGAATATGAGGAAGACCTTTTTCACGGTGAGGGTGACGGAGCCCTGGAACAGGCTGCCCAGGGAGGTCGTGGAGTCCCCTTCTTTGGAGATTTTCAAGACCCGCCTGGATGCAGTCCTGAGTGATGTGCTCTGACAAGCTCTGGGTGGCCCTGCTTTGGCAGGGGAGTTGGACTAGATGATCTCTATGGTCCCTTCCAACTCTAAAAATTCAGTGAAATTCAGTGAAGACTTGATTTAAAGTTTAGAAAGCAGGCATTCTTTACTGTGGCACCGGGGGCACAGGGGATAGCTCCTCCTATTGTGCTCACCAAATACTGTTTGCAAATTAAATTGATACACAACAGGTATAACTAGTCAATGGAATCCCAAGAATGCATTAGCATAGTCATTTCTGAGAATTCATTTACATATTATAATGAGCTTTTGGGCATGCATAGTTGTGCCTTCTGGTGGTCCTCATTTTGAGTGAGGGTCGTTTCTTCCTCAATGGTCATCTTCTTCACCTGTCCTTTGGCTCACTTTTCATGTGGGTGAAACATTCTAACTGCTTAATTGCTCATTAAAACGACCGATCTCTCTGCTACCCCGTTTGTCAAACTATGTCCGTATTTATTGCTTCCCCGTCTTAGGTCACCGTGTTCTCAGGGCCACATATAGCCTGCCTTATCTTACCAAGTCCTTGAAACCGTTTGGGATGGTTGCTGGGACAGCCACATTTTTTCCTCTAGAAGATGATGATTCTCTACAGTTTAACCCTTTATAAAACTACATTAACATCTGCCGTGTCAACCCAGTCCTCCCGGTGAGATGACCGAGAGCTCCCCCAGCTTCCCCCAGGGCCTCCTCCGTCCCGCCACAGGCCGCTGGCTCAGTCCCTGCCTCCCACAATCCACGGGGAACGGCGCCGTTATTCCCCCTCCTCCGCCCCAGGCAGCCTTCCAGCCCCGCCGGGAGCCACCGGACACCGGACCGGGAGGGGGG